AAATTGAACGATTCTTTTGAAGAGAAAATAAGAGAATATTTTTTAGTTGAATTTCTGTGTGATTTCGTGACATGATTGCATGACCAGTTTTTCAAATGTATCCACGCGTTCATCGAAGAAAACCATACGAGAACTGGAACATCGAATCATAAACAAATCTGAAAATATTGTAGGAAATGATTAGATAATGAACAATTGTATGAAAAGTGCATATTCACCTTTAATAAGATCAATTGCAAATGGATCGTTGTGCCCGGACTGAATATCAGAGATCCCAATGCATGCAATCAAAAGTACTTTTATGAATTTTTTGTCATATTCTACAGATTCACGAAAACCATTCGAATTGAAGGCATTCAAACCTTTGACCACACGATTCGTCAGGCAAAACTGTTTCCATTGAGTACCACGCGTCACCATAAATGCTCTGTCTCCGTCTTTCTGTAACAAATCAAATTATTCAAATTTAGATTTTGAAAATAGTTCATGAGATGTATGAATAAACAGTACTTACGTTCGTAGCAAATGCCATATTTCCACAAAGGGTATCATTTTTCTTCACTTCATATGGATTTCTTTGAACCATTGGCGATGGCATCACATCGCTTGTGCACACCAAGCAGTCACCAGAATCATCACAATTTTCATAGCTTCCATTGAAAGCATCTTCTACAGCATGCAAATTTTCTTCTTCAAGTGGATTGAACGTAGGCTCCACTTTGATTGAGTTAGCAATTTCATCCTGAACATCATTTGTTCCTACGTTTATTGTGCCGTCCAGATCGTTTGAATCATCGTTTGAATTCGATGAACCAGTTGCATTTGTTTCTTCATCAATAGCCATTTGCTGATCTTCTTCATTGTCTGTTGAATCGATTTGAGACGTATCCGGCACATTTGAGTTTAATTCTTCGTCAATTGGATTTACTTCTTTACCCATTTCAGAACGATCATCGTTTGAATGTATGTTCATGTCAAGATTCAAATTGTTCGAACACATTGGTAGTTCAGCGATCAACGGGTCAGTTTCATCATCGTCATCATGTGTATCATGTGCATTATTTGGCACCACGACGAGCAGTGGCAGTGGTTTTTCATTCAATCTGGCTGGATTGTACACAACGGGCAAAACTTTGCGCCGTTTTTCTTTCATATTTTTGGCCTCGTCAAAATCATCTTGAATTTGATTGAAATTGATTTTTTTTAATTTTGGAAAAGAAAAACCACTCTTTAATGCAATTAATACATACCAGTGTAATAAATGGTACGTGCTTTATACCAAGCACCATTCCCAGCAGGCCAATTTTCTGAAATGATGGCATTTACATTCGGCTCTGGATAATACTGTCCTTCAATGCAATCTTCTGACCAATAAACCAACTGATCTCGGGATGAATTTTTGCCATAATTTTTCAACGCCTTGAGATTGAAACCATAAATATATCTCTCAGGAATAATTATGTGTTCACGCACGTTAGTCAAATACACCAAAACCAAATTCATTTTTGAAATACAGAAAATGTTACAAATATTTTAAATGAAAAGTTCTTCGTTGAATATTAAAAGGAAAAATGTCAATCTTTCAGTATTAAATTATATGATTATATTTGCCCAAGATATGTATTAGATGTTAGAAGTATTCTTTCTCTCACGCTGCCCAACTTGTAATGATTGAGAAAAGTGCGGTAAATGATATAAACTGAGCGGGTAAAATAAAAAAAAGCGCGCTCACAGTGCGTTACACGATCAAAGGGCGAAATGTCATTTCATGTTGCCGCATATAAAACGATAACAGAAGAAAAGAGATGCATATACATTATACACAGTAAATGTCTTTTACAGCCTGCTCGGATTTGCACTTGATTCTTGTTCCATATGAAATATTATACTGTTTGCATGTGTATCGGTCAATCGCATTGTAGCGATTTTTTTTTTTAATTTTAACGGCTGTATTTGGTTGCTGCAGTTATGAAAATCATTTCGTTTATTTAATACTGTTTGTCGTTTATTTTTAAAAAAATTAAAAAGGATTTTATATTTTTTGCTGTTTGATACACATTTAAAAGCCCTAAGATATGGAGAAAAATAGTAAAATGCGGAACAATTCACAAAACACTCGTGCTCTCAAATTTTTTACAATAGTTGATGAAATCGATCAAAAATATCGTTGTACTGTCTGTAAAAAAGAACTCAATGGAAAAAAATTGAGTAATTTAGTCGCACATTTTAAAGGTTCAAATGGATTAGATCACAAAGAAATTTACCATACACAAATCACAACGGGATCAGCAGATCATATTAAAATTCAAAGAGAAAACTTCGTTCACAGTTGTGTGGAACTTGTTACAATTAACCATCAACCATTCAGCCTTTTGTCGATGTCAGGATTTAGAAATAGCCATTCATATCAATTAAGTCGGCTAGAATCAGCTGGATGCCCACTCAATCTATGTGACAGACATGTGACCGAAATTAAGTACAAAGTTCGTGCAACAGCTGAACAAATCAAAGAGTTAATTAAAGTTGAAACACAAAGGAAACTCTTGTCTGTTATGTTGGATGTAGCTACCAGAAATGGGCGTTCGATTTTTGGTGTCAGCATTCAATACAAACATAATGGTGATCCAAAGATAATTGCAATTGGCATGCGCGAACTACATCGATCACACACGGCACATAATTTAGCACATGTTTTGATTGAAATTTTGACGGAATACGATATTGATTTAAAACAAGTATTATCAGTTACAACAGACAACGCCTCCAATATGCTTGCTATGGTAAAAGAAGTTCAAGACATTTTGTTGAAAATGCATGATGATACTATCTCACAGTCACAACCATTGGCAGAAAATCAAAACAACTTAATCGATCAGAGCATCGACGATGAAATCGTAGAGAGTTGGACGAGAACAATTTCAAGAGAAGATGAAGCCTTGGAAGAGCTATTTGATGATACAGACACATTCGCAATACTATTGGATAGATTGACAGATTACTTAAGGAAAAAAACAGGCAATAATTCATTGTTTGTGGATTCAATTAATTGTGGCGCTCACACAATTCAACTTGGAGTAAATGACTCTCTGAATTTGTTGCCAATAAAGGATAAGATGGTCATTGATTTATGCCGCAATGTAGCAAAGTTTTTGCGACTTTCCAGCACGAAAAATGCTATGAAGGAAGCGGGTTTGGTCTCAATACTGCCAGGTCTGGATGTTGCAACAAGATGGAGCTCTACATACCTGATGGTGGGAATGAATAAATTGATTTTAATCTTATACGTACTCATATTAATATACATGACTTTTGTTTGTTTATTGTAAATAGATTCGAAGCGTTTTAAAGTGTGAAACGGTTATTAAACACTTTGCAAGCCGTGTAAATGATATGAACCAGTTGCTAGCAAAATGGGATGTGTTAAAGGAAATTAAAACAGTCTTGCATTTGCCATATTTATCTACGATTATGCTTCAAAAAGAAAACTTTACATTGTCCGATTTTTATGGTTGCTTAAAAGTTATTGATATGAAGTTGAGCCAAATGTTGTCGAATCCACATCAAAATTGCACAGACCTTGCAAAAAACCTGAAATTGCATTTGGATATACGTAAAAAGCGATTGATTGAAAATCCTTTGATGCAATGTGCATTATTTCTAGATCCTCGTTTCAAATGCGAGTTAGATGGCGATTCGGAAAGAACTATTTTTATGAAATTAATACTTGACAACGTCCGGAATAGAATTCAATCAATTAAAAATGATAACGAACAAACAGAAGAAGAGGAAACAAATAGCGAAGTTCCAAACAAATCAACTGATAACATGAACGATTTCTATACTGAGTTGGATCAGCAATATGAAGCCAGTGGAATCGGTGCACTTGGTGGTAATTTTTCAACGATTAGTCCTGATTACTCCAAAGATAAAAGTGATATTGCTATTGCTGTTAACAAATATGAACATTTTGTATTCGGAACACGTATGAAGAGCAGTGATTCAGTGCACTCATTTTGGGAATCGAACAAAAAAACATTCGGGCCAGAGTTGTATGAAATAGCTTCCGTCATATTTGCCATTCCACCCACGCAGACAACGGTTGAACATTATTTCTCAGGATCAAAATGAAATAAAAATATTTTGTTTTCATTCAAATGGAATCTATAATCATTCAATGAGCATAAATTGGTATTCTCTTCTTGATTAAATAACGAGTATGAAGATAAAACTTAACTTCATTCAAAAATCACATCATTTGATGAATATAAAGTAGAATTTTAACTTGAAATTGAGTCAAATGATGCCAAAATAATAATCACTTGCGAAAATACTTTGAAAATGTAAACAAATCGTTTCTTCCCAATGAAAAAAAACCGAACGAAACATTTTCGTATGAGAACTTTGACGTTTGATACGTATGTGTATTTCGGTGTATTTTTTGTCATTTTACAAACCCATACTCATACATGAACGCTGAGAATCATACATTTATCATTTACAAATATTCAACCGTGCCGCTATCAACCGCGTATTGAATTCTATTCGTAACGTACAACCTTATTTCAACGCGGATATACTTGCATATTAACAAGATACGTTGGATACTAATACTAATGCGTCTTACCGTTAGATACATACAAGCATTCCGAATACAATACATGTTCTATACGCGGTTGATAGCGTCGCATGTATCGCGCCGTTTAGTGAACGAGAAAAAATACACCGAAATACACATACGTATCAAACGTCAAAGTTCTCATACGAAAATGTTTCGTTCGGATTTATTATTTTGGCATCATTTAACTCAATTTCAAGTTAAAATTCTACTTTGTATTCATCAAATGATGTGATTTTTGAATAAAGTTAAGTTTTATCTTCATACTCGTTATCTAATCAAGAAGAGAATACCAATTTATGCTCATTGAATGATTATAGATTCCATTTGAATGAAAACAATATATTTTTATTGCATTTTTAAAGATGAAGAGCATTTGAATGCATTAACAAATATTTTGTCCTTTTAGACTCTCTTCTACTTTCTTAATATCTAGTATCTTAACTTTTTTATAAAGATCTTTATTTAAATGTATAAGGAGACAACATTCTAACAAGTCTTCAGATAACTGACATCGATATTCAGTAAAAAGTAATTTTAATCCTGAGAAATAACGTTCAACCGTTGTCTGTGTGGGTGGAATGGCAAATATGACGGAAGCTATTTCATACAACTCTGGCCCGAATGTTTTTTTGTTCGATTCCCAAAATGAGTGCACCGAATCACTGCTCTTCATACGTGTTCCGAATACAAAATGTTCATATTTGTTAACAGCAATAGCAATATCACTTTTATCTTTGGAGTAATCAGGACTAATCGTTGAAAAATCACCACCAAGTGCACCGATTCCACTGGCTTCATATTGCTGATCCAACTCAGTATAAAAATCGTTCATGTTATCAGTTGATTTGTTTGGAACTTCGCTATTTGTTTCCTCTTCTTCTGTTTGTTCGTTATCATTTTTAATTGATTGAATTCTATTCCGGACGTTGTCAAGTATTAATTTCATAAAAATAGTTCTTTCCGAATCGCCATCTAACTCGCATTTGAAACGAGGATCTAGAAATAATGCACATTGCATCAAAGGATTTTCAATCAATCGCTTTTTACGTATATCCAAATGCAATTTCAGGTTTTTTGCAAGGTCTGTGCAATTTTGATGTGGATTCGACAACATTTGGCTCAACTTCATATCAATAACTTTTAAGCAACCATAAAAATCGGACAATGTAAAGTTTTCTTTTTGAAGCATAATCGTAGATAAATATGGCAAATGCAAGACTGTTTTAATTTCCTTTAACACATCCCATTTTGCTAGCAACTGGTTCATATCATTTACACGGCTTGCAAAGTGTTTAATAACCGTTTCACACTTTAAAACGCTTCGAATCTATTTACAATAAACAAACAAAAGTCATGTATATTAATATGAGTACGTATAAGATTAAAATCAATTTATTCATTCCCACCATCAGGTATGTAGAGCTCCATCTTGTTGCAACATCCAGACCTGGCAGTATTGAGACCAAACCCGCTTCCTTCATAGCATTTTTCGTGCTGGAAAGTCGCAAAAACTTTGCTACATTGCGGCATAAATCAATGACCATCTTATCCTTTATTGGCAACAAATTCAGAGAGTCATTTACTCCAAGTTGAATTGTGTGAGCGCCACAATTAATTGAATCCACAAACAATGAATTATTGCCTGTTTTTTTTCCTTAAGTAATCTGTCAATCTATCCAATAGTATTGCGAATGTGTCTGTATCATCAAATAGCTCTTCCAAGGCTTCATCTTCTCTTGAAATTGTTCTCGTCCAACTCTCTACGATTTCATCGTCGATGCTCTGATCGATTAAGTTGTTTTGATTTTCTGCCAATGGTTGTGACTGTGAGATAGTATCATCATGCATTTTCAACAAAATGTCTTGAACTTCTTTTACCATAGCAAGCATATTGGAGGCGTTGTCTGTTGTAACTGATAATACTTGTTTTAAATCAATATCGTATTCCGTCAAAATTTCAATCAAAACATGTGCTAAATTATGTGCCGTGTGTGATCGATGTAGTTCGCGCATGCCAATTGCAATTATCTTTGGATCACCATTATGTTTGTATTGAATGCTGACACCAAAAATCGAACGCCCATTTCTGGTAGCTACATCCAACATAACAGACAAGAGTTTCCTTTGTGTTTCAACTTTAATTAACTCTTTGATTTGTTCAGCTGTTGCACGAACTTTGTACTTAATTTCGGTCACATGTCTGTCACATAGATTGAGTGGGCATCCAGCTGATTCTAGCCGACTTAATTGATATGAATGGCTATTTCTAAATCCTGACATCGACAAAAGGCTGAATGGTTGATGGTTAATTGTAACAAGTTCCACACAACTGTGAACGAAGTTTTCTCTTTGAATTTTAATATGATCTGCTGATCCCGTTGTGATTTGTGTATGGTAAATTTCTTTGTGATCTAATCCATTTGAACCTTTAAAATGTGCGACTAAATTACTCAATTTTTTTCCATTGAGTTCTTTTTTACAGACAGTACAACGATATTTTTGATCGATTTCATCAACTATTGTAAAAAATTTGAGAGCACGAGTGTTTTGTGAATTGTTCCGCATTTTACTATTTTTCTCCATATCTTAGGGCTTTTAAATGTGTATCAAACAGCAAAAAATATAAAATCCTTTTTAATTTTTTTAAAAATAAACGACAAACAGTATTAAATAAACGAAATGATTTTCATAACTGCAGCAACCAAATACAGCCGTTAAAATTAAAAAAAAAAATCGCTACAATGCGATTGACCGATACACATGCAAACAGTATAATATTTCATATGGAACAAGAATCAAGTGCAAATCCGAGCAGGCTGTAAAAGACATTTACTGTGTATAATGTATATGCATCTCTTTTCTTCTGTTATCGTTTTATATGCGGCAACATGAAATGACATTTCGCCCTTTGATCGTGTAACGCACTGTGAGCGCGCTTTTTTTTATTTTACCCGCTCAGTTTATATCATTTACCGCACTTTTCTCAATCATTACAAGTTGGGCAGCGTGAGAGAAAGAATACTTCTAACATCTAATACATATCTTGGGCAAATATAATCATATAATTTAATACTGAAAGATTGACATTTTTCCTTTTAATATTCAACGAAGAACTTTTCATTTAAAATATTTGTAACATTTTCTGTATTTCAAAAATGAATTTGGTTTTGGTGTATTTGACTAACGTGCGTGAACACATAATTATTCCTGAGAGATATATTTATGGTTTCAATCTCAAGGCGTTGAAAAATTATGGCAAAAATTCATCCCGAGATCAGTTGGTTTATTGGTCAGAAGATTGCATTGAAGGACAGTATTATCCAGAGCCGAATGTAAATGCCATCATTTCAGAAAATTGGCCTGCTGGGAATGGTGCTTGGTATAAAGCACGTACCATTTATTACACTGGTATGTATTAATTGCATTAAAGAGTGGTTTTTCTTTTCCAAAATTAAAAAAAATCAATTTCAATCAAATTCAAGATGATTTTGACGAGGCCAAAAATATGAAAGAAAAACGGCGCAAAGTTTTGCCCGTTGTGTACAATCCAGCCAGATTGAATGAAAAACCACTGCCACTGCTCGTCGTGGTGCCAAATAATGCACATGATACACATGATGACGATGATGAAACTGACCCGTTGATCGCTGAACTACCAATGTGTTCGAACAATTTGAATCTTGACATGAACATACATTCAAACGATGATCGTTCTGAAATGGGTAAAGAAGTAAATCCAATTGACGAAGAATTAAACTCAAATGTGCCGGATACGTCTCAAATCGATTCAACAGACAATGAAGAAGATCAGCAAATGGCTATTGATGAAGAAACAAATGCAACTGGTTCATCGAATTCAAACGATGATTCAAACGATCTGGACGGCACAATAAACGTAGGAACAAATGATGTTCAGGATGAAATTGCTAACTCAATCAAAGTGGAGCCTACGTTCAATCCACTTGAAGAAGAAAATTTGCATGCTGTAGAAGATGCTTTCAATGGAAGCTATGAAAATTGTGATGATTCTGGTGACTGCTTGGTGTGCACAAGCGATGTGATGCCATCGCCAATGGTTCAAAGAAATCCATATGAAGTGAAGAAAAATGATACCCTTTGTGGAAATATGGCATTTGCTACGAACGTAAGTACTGTTTATTCATACATCTCATGAACTATTTTCAAAATCTAAATTTGAATAATTTGATTTGTTACAGAAAGACGGAGACAGAGCATTTATGGTGACGCGTGGTACTCAATGGAAACAGTTTTGCCTGACGAATCGTGTGGTCAAAGGTTTGAATGCCTTCAATTCGAATGGTTTTCGTGAATCTGTAGAATATGACAAAAAATTCATAAAAGTACTTTTGATTGCATGCATTGGGATCTCTGATATTCAGTCCGGGCACAACGATCCATTTGCAATTGATCTTATTAAAGGTGAATATGCACTTTTCATACAATTGTTCATTATCTAATCATTTCCTACAATATTTTCAGATTTGTTTATGATTCGATGTTCCAGTTCTCGTATGGTTTTCTTCGATGAACGCGTGGATACATTTGAAAAACTGGTCATGCAATCATGTCACGAAATCACACAGAAATTCAACTAAAAAATATTCTCTTATTTTCTCTTCAAAAGAATCGTTCAATTTTTATTAAACAAATTCAAGCAAACAATACAATTTTATTGAGTTTTTGGCCACATATTTTTATAATATGTTTTCTTTTTATTGACATAAAATAAAAAAAATAAAAGAAGCTAAGAATTCACACCGAGATGTTTTCAATTATTTTGATATTTTGACATTTTTTCAATACGAGTATTTTGTTCAATACACATGCATGCATAATACACGTTTCAATGCGGTGGCATGCGTCAAACTTAGGCACAGCATAGATATCGTGCTAGAAATAGCAGTGCCTGCTGAAAATATACACAGCACACAGCCTGCCATTTTCAGAATCATCGACACGATATCGCGACAAGTCTACCCAGGGTGGCTGGTTATATAATGCATTATCAGAGTCCCAGCTGTTCCAAGAAGAGTCAGCCTCTGGTGCAAATGGCATGTCAACATTGTCAACAATATTCGTATCGCCATGATGGCGTGAAATATGGAAAACAATTTCTTCTTCTTTAAGAAGAAAATCCAAGATAACGTCAATTATTTTGACCTCATTCCGCTTCATTTCGAACAATTTTGGGTCGCATACCAGTCTTTCTAGCATAAAACGAAAATGTTTTTGCAATTGGATTATTAATGTTGCTTCTTTTTCATCAAGCGAAAAGCTATCCAAATTGTCAATTTTCAACTTATTCTCATCAGAAGACCATTTGATAGGCGATGTGAAAAGTATGACAGTATTTGTTTTCACAAGAGTAATATCTCGCAAAAAATATTTTGAACCACGATTTGATTTATCGCTATAAATCATCCAATTATCAGCATTTTTGACAATTCCATGGGTCACTGATGACAAATGTGGCATTATTTTATCAATGAATTCCGTTGAAACCACATTCGGATATAGCCCAGCTGTTAGACATCCCTTGACTACATTCCATTTTGATGAGTTTTTGTTCAGTTCTCTAAGGTGTTGATGGTCACTTGCATTTATTTACATGCTCATTGTTGACAATCCTTAGCACAAATACAATAACAGTGCGAAGCGCTCACTCACAAAAATTCATGACATAAACCAAAGTGAAACGCGCATGTATTTGTGCGAACAACATCGTCTTCATTGAGTCACATGATCAAAATTCTTTACGTTGATTCGTTCGCTTATGAGCATCGTGTACTATCATATGACTCAATGAAGACGATGTTGTTCGCACAAATACATGCGCGTTTCACTTTGGTTTATGTCATCCGAGTATCACCTGCGTTGTATATTGACAATGTATTTGAACGCGACTCGATTTAATAAGCGCCATCTCTTTCACGCCAGGTTCTCATATATTTTTTTCTTGCAAATATTTTTTTCTTGCAAAATTGTATAAATTGAATAAGTTTTGCAATAATAATAACGAAAATAATTAATAGAATTTATAATAAATAAAAAAATTGAAAAAACACACAAATATTTTATATTATATGATTCACCAGAATAGCTTCACTTCGTGTTGTTTACATTGTTTCTTTTGACAGGTATGAATGTTTGACAAATACATATTTTCTCCACGTAACCATCTCTACATGGTCTACAAGGCAAAGCTACATATCATATAACAATGAGCATGTAAATAAATTGTTATTTTGTGAGGTGTTACGTTATAATTTATTTCAATAACCTAAATATTTAAAATTATCGTTATTTTTGAACACAAATAATAAAATAATTTTTTTGTGCAAAATAAAAGAATATTTTCGGATGATTTTTTTTAATCAACAATTTAATATAAACAGATAGACAGCGACATCTATACGAAATCAACAATTTAATTTCCTCGTAATGTTTTTGAAGAAAATGCACGTTGACATATCACACATTGACAGCTGTGTGACATAAAAGGGGCACAAATCCCTGGGATATT